TTAAATTTACAGGTATTTCTAAGTATCCCGAAACGCCTAGGAGATGGGTAAAAGGGCTAATCACACTGTTCATTCAGTTAAGGGTATACTGAAGTAACCAAGCTTCCTATCCGAATGAAACCCACCAGACGCTGAAGCAATGAGAACCACAAGCACAAAGTCTTGACATATGTGACTGAATTAAAAGTGCGACCACTGTACAATTTTTAACATAAAACTGCTTTTCTCAAGTTTCTTTTATTTGGACTTACTTTTATTTTTGCTTCATCTGGTCCTTTACTGGCTTCTGTCACTTTGGTCCCCTGTTTCTCCCTCTGCCTGTAGGTCTTCATTACACCGCACAGAAAGGCACTTTTGTTCTGCAAGAAAACACATCATAAAAACAATTTAAGTCACAATTTCTTGCTTTTACTCCACTTCAGACCTTCCAACTACACCTCCTTGTACTTACCTGAACATGTGAGAGATCGCTGTCCTTAAACTGAAGTAGAACCTGCAGAGCTCCTTCTTCATTGAACTCTTTCAAAGCTTCAATTGCTCTTTCATCTAGGTCACTGTGAGATACCAGGCCTGGGAAAGAGGGATCCTGTTAGCATTCTAGAGAAAGTCACATCAGAGAAGCTCACAACAGCACCTGTCCAGTCAGATCTTAGCGGTAAACCATCACTGTAACAGAGTTACTCAAGGACAGTATATATGTAGCATCATGTGGACAGTAGCTGCATCACAGTCACAGAGCGGGCATTCGGACATGGAACGTTTTCACAGTAAAACGGGAAGATTTTTAACACGGCTGCAAAGTTATAGACCAGTCAGTTTTAAAAAACGGTGCACACAAAACAGTGAGGTAGAATAATTCCTCATTTTACAAAGAGGATCAACTCAAAAGAGGGAAAAAGAGCAACGAACATGGCAGGGATGTGTCACAGCTTCGAGGAGTCTGAAGAATAAACTGTCTGCAACTTACTTATCTGACAAGAGCATGGCCTGCCTAATCACAACAGATGCTTTGTAAACTAATGTCGGCAATTAGCATATCCAAGATGTGCTTTAAGGCTCCACATCACCTGTCCCTGCCTTGCACAGCTGCTGCTATTGTTCCACCCTGAGCCCATCTGGCAGAATACACCCCTCCAGACACCTCACTGCAATGGTCCTGCTCC